GTTATTATTGCGTCGCTTCTTTCGCCGCAAAGAAATATGGAAACATACACTCTTTGTAAAAATACTAAACCGTTTTCCCATTTATTTAAAATTGTATATACTTGCAGCGGCTTAGTATTTTTTATGGACATATTACAAATAAATAAAATTGAAAATAATTGCTTTAGAGTAAATAACAGCAGATTTTTTGTTCAAAGTGAAACATAAGTTATTCAAAAATAAAAACGCTCTGTTCCAACTTTTAGACATGTCAATCATTTTGTGTTTGCATTTTAGAGGCGACGCAATAATAACATTTTGTACATATTTGAGCGAACGCGTCACTGAAAATTTATATCAGACCATTTTTAGATTTACAGTATTGCGTCACAGTGGGAACTTCGAAAGAAGTGTTTTTTTACTTATTTATTATAGTTAGTTTGAATAAGTTTGCGGCTGTAAGAGGCAGAGACACCACGATGAAAAGTATTTACAAACGCGTGTTTTATGTTGTAACGGGAATGATTAATGGTGGAAAATACTCACAAGATGAAGTGCCAAAAATAAAAATTATTGAAATTCCTGGAATTGGTGAATATTTCGCTCTTTTTGATTTTTGAATAATATTTTAATTCGCACTACTTATGTTTATTTAAATCGATTTAACCATTTACAGAATGTCTCCAAGAAAAAAATTCATGCATAGAAAAACTGATAAAAGAAGAAATCAATTGGTATTCCTCTCAAGGTCTCGAAGTACCAAATATATCATTCCTTAGTAATGATGACATCGTTGGTAAGTATTGTTTTGGTTTAGTGGAATAGTTAGGCATTCCATACAATCTTATCTTATTATTTTTAGATTTATTTGATAACAAAGTGAATGGCATATTTACTCTATTAGAAGATGAATCCAAAGCATTTGTTCAGTACAGTGGCCAAATACACAGTATTTTATACTGGTATTGGTGCACTGTGCTGAGCAAGTGCCTGTACGACGCAGTAACACACAGATACAAGCATCTGTGTAGTTACATCGTACAGGCACCTCAATAAACTAAGCAGCACGGCAGTGCCGTGCTGCCCGTATACAATTAGTGTTTAAGAACAGTCCGTGTATGACAGACATAAAAATAAAATACAAAAAAGAAACCCATTGCCTTTTACTGACTACCCGAACAGCATTGAAATCATCGTCAGAGAATTTTCTCAGAAAAATTAAACACGCATGTATAACTCACAAGCATTTTCGTCTTGCAAAAATACAAAGAAATGAAAGCTATCAAGACTGCTTTAAGATTGGACACTTTGCGCAAGAATACTCAGCCGTATGTTTTTTCGCATTTATTCGAGCATATTTGTTGAATGACTTTTTTTTTGTAGAAAAATTTTGTGGAAAAAATACAGAAATTATGTCAAGTTCTGTAAGTAATCTACTTGATGCATCATTTAATTGTGACGATGAAACCTCATGTAAGAACAAATCGGTGAGAACAATCATTGAGGGATTTAGGACAGCACTACACCACTTGCATTTTTTGAATTGCATGAATATCCCCTAGGATGATTTTGTTGCTGATCAGTTAAATTCAAATGGAGCAAGTGCTTACTTTCAATTGATGAAGTAAGGGTTCCCAAACAAGCTCAATATGCATGAAATCTTTGAAAAATATTCGCCATTGTTCCAAAACACATATTTAATCCCTCCAGAGCTCACCAACGAATTGTTACGTCTTATTAAATTAAAGAGCACCGATTTCAAAATTGGCAAGTCGCACGTTTTTATTAGAAAATCTCAGGACATAATCATACTCACGCCAGAACCGTTCCATTGCAAATGGCACATTTCAATTTTGCTTTGTAATGCAAAAACTTACACACATGTAACAAACAACTACCATAACAGCTTAGAAGCTGTCACAATAATTCACCTATTATAAATATTTTAATGTCACTAATGCAGTTGCTGACAGTCTGCAGCGCCAAAAATTCACCACCATTCATTATTATCTCATATTCGCCCATATTCTAAAAATGTCAAAATATTCGACAAAATTTGAAGTATCCTACATGGTGGATATCGGTGAATACTTACGGATATTGTCAGATACGGTGAGATATTTGAATTTTTATGAGATTTTAAGAATGAAGTTAAATTTTGGTACATAAATACATCCCCCTAGCTTTTTCCCCGCTGAGCGGGACTTGATGTCACTTTGATATTCGAGCGGAAAAATACGTACTACAATTTATCCGAAAAAAATTGAGACTTCGTATAGACTGAATTTTATGTCAAAATCGTTTCATATTGACGTTAGGAGTTTTTTAGGAGTGTGTATGGAAGAGATGTCTACGAACATTCATATTCGTATTCGTTCGTGTTCGCGTTCACACGAAGAAAACTTTTTACGAACGAATGCAAACGAACACGCCGTCTTCCTTAGCGAACACGAATCAGAAAATTCTTTCTACGAACGAATGCAAACGAACGCTCGACCTTTAATTTCGGAGTGAACAGTATATTGGCAAAATTCGAATGCGCGAATTGCGGTGCCGCTTTCTCCCGGAAGGGAAATGTAAGATGGCATATCACACTGTCATGTATTAAATTTACCATTTTTGACATCTCTTAGGCATATTTTTCAAAAGTGACTATTTGTTGAATAAGTTTTACCAACTTTTCGAAACCACAGATGACGCTAGCGCATGAATTTGGTGAATGTAATGGAGCAATTGGTAAAACTTATTCAACTGATAGTCTCTTTTGAGAAATATGCCTCAGAGATGTCAAAAATGGTAAATTTAATTCGTTGTTGGTAGATTTTATATTAAATCTACCAAAATTGAATTAAAAATACCACTTTTTTTCTTTCTGTGTATTTATATAATATACATACCTATAGCAATAGCTGATATAAATAGCTAGCTAGCAACATTGTATGAGATGGAGCAATAATTCTGAGCATTTAGACGAGCTAGTGAAAGAAGTCAAAACAATTCCAAACGATTCGAACTTTATGTTGCAGTATTATTTGGAAAAAGATAAAAGCTACTCTTTCGCCGCAACGATTCAACTATGAAACTATTCTAACCAAATCTAATGTTGGTATATTATTATGTGATGAAGGCCATCGCCTTAAAAACTGTGAAAATCAAACCTACAAAGCTCTTATAGGTTTAAAAACAAAACAAGGAGTCATATTAACGTTAACACCAATACAAAATTCTCTCAAGGAATACTTCAGCTTGTGTCATTTTGTTAACCCCAACATATTTGAAACGCTACTGGTATGTTCACATTCTCTTACTCAGTTTTTCATTGGAAATATTCATAAAAACTAATTAATCTATTTTCATAGCAATTTAAGCGCCGTTATGAGAATGATATAGAGAAAGGGCAACAAGCTGGATATACAGAAGGAGAACGCAAAAAAGCTGTAGCAAAAGTGGACAAATTTAGAAAAGATTTGAACTAGTTTCAGATACGTCGCACAAATAATCAAATTCTTACGAGAATATTGCCAGTCAAATTCGAAATTAAGCAAAGAACACACCGATATTTATAGAAGTGTAGATCCAGGTAATTTGCAATAAAAATGAGTGAAAAATATTAGAACTGAACACTTTTTCTATGATTTTTCATAACCTTTGTTTAATTTTTTTTAAATTTTTCTTTTAAAAATGTTTACGAACGAACATGCCATCTCCTTTAGCGAACGCGAACGAATACGAATCGGAAAATTTTCCTGCGAAAGAATGCGAACGAACACGCCGTCTTCCTTAGCGAATACGGACGAACACGAATCGAATTTTTTTTACTACGAACGAACAGTTTTTATACGTACTACGATAGTATCTAAGTGATTAGACAAAGAACACATTTTTTATCCTGATGACCGAATCGAATTTTTTCACAATTTTTATAAGATTTTCTTGTGATTAATTTTTATTTTTCAAAGGGTGCTTCGGCGGCCAATCAACCATCTCGCCAGCATTTAAAATTCATTTTGGAGGTGGTGTACTCAGAAGTTGTCCACGAGCCAGCCAAATTAAATAAATATAAAAACATTTTCACCCGGAGTCTATGGTGAAACGTCATTCGATTTGGTCTGTCAAATGATCGATAAAATTTCGATATCGCCCGATGTTTTTATTGATCAAGTCGTTCTTCAAATGACCGGTGCAGTTCAAATGAAATCATGTTTGGGCATTGAACAAGACGAAGTGCCATCAAATTATGCTGTCGAAATGGATTTGAAGTTTCGACATTGAATGCGATGGTTTGGGAAAAAATTCAACGATTATGAAGTGATCAAAGGTGACTTCTTTGCCGATGAACATCGCGAAAAAATCAATGCCGCCACAAATGTGTTCGTTAATAATTTTGCAGTTGGAGCTACTGTTGATAATGCATTGAAGCAACGTTTTGTCAATTTACGCGATGGCACCCGAATCATTTCAACGAAAAACTTTTGTCCGTTCAATTTTCGATTGACATTAAAGTAATTTTTACTAACACTCATTTTTTCAGATTTTAATTTAGATACTTATGAATTTGCTTATTATTTTAGAACCATAAATGACATCGGTGTAATTATGCACGTACAAACAATGTCATTGTTTCGTGGATCAGTCAGTTGGACAAATTCGGCTGTGCCCTATTATCTCAGTAGTTCAATTGATTTTAATGTTTTCAAGTAGTTCATCTCCTTTTAAATTTAAACATTATTGTCTCTTGTTTCGATATTATTGTTTATATTGTTATGCTATGACATTTGTGATGGCGCGTAAAACAAAATTCCACCATCTGTCAAACTTCCAATGGAATTTTAGAACATTGAATTCAAATTGAATATCGTTATTAGTACACATAAGGTCTATCGTCTAAATAACAAAGTCCATTGGAAAGATAAAAAAAAAAAAATATGAAACAATTTTTATTTAACATGTTCTTTCATACAAACTTAACATTTTCAAAAAAAGTAAATCATTGATTAGAATTGCAAAGCATATGTTAATGTTTTTGGCAAATCTAAATTAGAACTACTCGCAGATGATTTTTTATTATTAATTTGTCAACGCCATTGTTTTCCTTAGTCAGCTCTTGTTTGACCTATTTCTTATGGACTTTTCGGTGTTTACGATATTGTTTGAAGTTTTCCTATTGATGACACTGTCATATGCCCATCGTTCACCAGCGATTCATCGGTTGTCAGCTTTTGTTCGCTCATCGATTCCTCAAAAACACTTGATTGAGTCACATATTGGATTGTGGGGGCGATATTCTGTGGTTTTGTTCTTCCATCGATATGATTAGTCGGCAAAACAGTTGATTTATTGTCGGAATGACTCACACTTGGAGGGCTTCTAATTCCATGTGTACGACGTTTTCTTTTTGATGCTTCGTTTGCAGAATTTCCCATTAAAACATTCAATTGATTATTTAGCATGTTAATGTTTTGAAGTAGTTCATCTTCTTTTTCACTTAAGCATTTTTGTCTTTTGCCACACTTTGATAACTTCAATGCTGAATGTGTTTGCTTTAAGTATGACATTTCGCGCGAGTCATTTTCAATTCGATTCACAGTTTTTTCATCGTTTTTTGGATCAAACCTGCCTTTATGTAAAACTTCTTCCAGTATAACATTGAAAGCTGAAATTAACTCATCATACCGATCGTCAGCACAATATTTATCTCTACGAATTTTCTGAAATTGGCTACTTGGTTTTGGTTCGATTTCACCTTTTTCCATTAATAGATTGATTAGCTCTTGACCATTTGAATAGTCTTCCAGTGAACTCACATTCAAATTACAACGTTGATTTTCATCTTCAAGCTTCTTTTTATTCGACGAATCATCAGAAGCCTCGGGTTGAATATCCGATAGTGTATCATCTTTTGGATCTATTCCAGTTGACCTAAAAAATCCAACACTTATTAGAATAATGAAACAAGTGTTTGATATAATATGAATATGATCAAAAAAAGTTGATAAATATTTACTTTGTCAATCCGGTCGGAATAGATCTGACCATTGTGATGCACAATAATATAACTGCACAAATCAGCCAAATTTTGAGAATGATTTTATTAAGCTGCATCTCCAAAAAACGACGAAGAAATATCATCCATATTGGCGCACTTGACTATTTATATGAACCGTATATTACAGCAACAGAAATTGGAAACACATGTTTTTCCATTGTTGTTTTTGAAATGGATCCAGAACAAAAATATTATTTAAAAAAAAGAAATACAAATAAATGCACAAGCGTAAACAATACGAAAGAAAAACAATAGAAAACCATAAACGCCAATATTTCAAGTGGCTGAATCCCAAAGATTAGTAAGACCTTTTTGCATTTGATGTTTCGAAATTTAAGCATTGATAAATGATCATACAGTTCAAATGGTTTAAGCTATATTGACAAACAAACGAACTCAAAGCTGAATATGCCCACAAATTTACCAAGAAAAATGTATTCGTCGAGACGTATCTATAATTTAATTTATGATTTATGTTGTAACATTTAATTTCAGGGACTAGAAAACTATAAATTAATAACAATTTATCGAATTTAACATTCAAATTAATTTTGTTTTGGCTTGGATTTGTTTAATCATAATGTGATTGTTTATTATCAAACATAGTTTTTAATTTAATAGACAAGTTTTTATAGCTTATCAAACAGACAACGTTAAAAAAATAATATTTTCAAATATTCGTGTGAAGAAATGTTTGTTTATGTCTTAAACGTTATGTTATCGAAGTGTTATTGAAATAAACCACATCTCACTGTCAAGCGTATACATTGAGACATAGCACGTAGTGAGGAAATTTGTATGCTTTCGGTACGAAAAAAAAACCAGAAAAAAATGTCGAGTTGAAAAAACGATTGAAATATCCTTTTGCGCAGCACAATATACGAATGCCGGTATGATTGCAATGGCAACGGCAGTAGAAAAAGGATATAAGGTATATTTTCGAATGTGATACCCATGTACATTTACTTCTAAATCTACCGCATTTCTTACCTTCCGAAGTCCGCTCGTTTATGGCACATTCCGCTACTTACCTTGGCGTCGAGAACTTGTTTCATTCTTTAAAATCGTCCACAGTTTCTCATTTGTAGTAAATTCTATTGCGTTTTTCTATGCTCTTTCTCTCCGTCGAATCAAACCAGTATTCGGCGTCTCTCTCTCATTCGCAGCGGAGAGCCGAATAGAGAGAGGGAGAATGGCAGCGAAAAAGGGAATACGAAAAAATGAGCGTTGTTTGGACGACCGAAAAAAGTGTAGAATTTAGTCTCTCCGTACGTTTCAGATTGCACACTCGTTTCGTCGTGCGAGTCGTTGGAAATTTGTGTTTTGTGTTTTGTACATATTTCGTTGTGCTTGTTGTTATGGTTTCGGTTGAATGGACAATCAACATTTGAAGCCGCCATTCAGTTGCAACAAATAAACAGAAATGCAACGTGAACCGCTTTAATTTGTTTTTGCATCATTTAAAAAACACGATTTTTTTGTGCCTTCTTTGGAATTTTTACTGTAAATTGTCATCCGAATGCAGTTTATGTGGTTAAGTTAAATTATAGTGATAAATTCAATTGATTGGCAGTTTTACTTGGAATATACAACTCCTACTTGGAATAATTCTCCAGAGATCAAGAAAATTCGGTTAGTATTTTATCTTAAATGTGCATATGTGCCCAATTAATTAGCGTCGCAGTCCAATGTATTGTTTTATTTTAACCTCTGATAAACCTGTGAAAGACTTGAAATAATATTTCTCATCTATAAATGGAGGGAAAAAGCGTATTTCAAAAAGAATTTATATAATCGACCAAAGCATAAGATTAAACCTTATCGATTACGATATCCAATGAATTTGTGATGGTAATAGATGTCAACGCTTTTAACCTATAATCCGACATTCATAAATGTTGGAGGCCCAACATCAGAGGCCACATTGTGAAGTGTTTTTTTCATTTGAATTATGATATTGCAGACACAGTGAAATACACGAGTCAAGAGACGCTCATCTCATAAATTTTACGATCGCCCAAAAATATGACGATCACTACCAGTTTTAACCAAATATGTTTGCGGAATGATTTATTTTATGTGTGTGTGTGTTTAATTATAACTCTGTCGATTTAATTCGATTGCACTTAACTAGAAGGGAAACTCACGAAAAATTCGATGCGTTTGTTTGGTTCCCCCTTTTTTCTCTCTTTGATTTAAGTATCTGACGAATATTTCATTTTCACCGTATGTGTGAGTTTGTGTGAAGTGTTCGTCTTATGACCAGTCTTCATTCGCAGTGGAATCGAATGTGTTTGAACGGCAGACATACAGAAAATAAGAAGAAAAAAAAGTATATAATGATGTTCGCTCAAGGCGCAAATATTATTTTTGAAACTCCGCAGCATTTCGATATGCATGATTTCATAGTTCGCGCCACAATTTTCAAGCATTTTGCCACTTGAAACTCATAAATTTTCGGTTTGAATTTTGTTTATTATTCTGAGAAGTATTGCTTGCGTTCATCCATGGACTTAATTCGAATCAGTTTCTTTTTTTTTTTTTGTAATTTCAACTTCAAAAGTCTGTCAATCGGTTTTCTGAACACTTTGCACTCGATCGTATTCTCTTTTTTTTCATCATATTTGTAATTTCTTCTCTTTGTTTTTCTTTGCGACTAATTTTGGAAATGTGTTCCATTGATGCGTGAAGAAAGTCGGAAAAAAATAAGATGTGAAGTAAAAAAACTTCTTTGTGCCTCACATACATGTTTGAATCATAGAGAGAGAGAGAGAGAGAGAGAGAGAGAGAGAGAGAGAGAGAGAGTGAGAGAGAGAGAGAGAAAAACAGCCCAAGAAAGTTGAGCCAAAACGAAATGCGTACAATAACAATGATCATTAATCATGTACAATACACTGTCGCTCAGAACCGATGAATATCTTTCAAGCAAACCCAAACAAGCAAAATTCAATTTCAATATAACATATCGAGTATTTTACTTTTATTTCTTCTCTGCATATTTCATTTTAACCTTGACATTTATCGCAAGTGCGTGTTTGGATTCAATTTTTTGTGTGATTGGCATTGCCTCTTCGGGATTGGTTTCAATTTTTAATTTTATTAAATTGTACACATGTTTGAATTCAGTTTTCAATTGGCACATGACACTAACGCATGCCGTTATTTGAGCATTTTTTGTATGCCTGCCAACAATTCACAAATTTGTGTCCACTTCTACGAATTTTAAACGATTTGTCATCGTTTTTAATGGCTTAAAGCCTGTAACAATTCCAAAAGTAATCAATTTTGTGTTGTTGTTCAATTCTGATTTGGTATACGCCAACCAAAGATTAACCGAGTCATTTCTGTAAGTCGATTTATTTGTTCAAATGTTCGCAATTTCACACACAATTCTTTTTTGTTATTGTGAAGAATGTTGATTATGTTTGAAATAATTGTGAAAATCTCACGCGCACACATGATTTCAGACAATTGTCGATTAGCCGAAAAGAAATAACATTCATTGGTGAATTAATCGGAAATGTCTTGAACGAGTTTACCACAACAAATAAAATAGACAAAAAGATGGATGAACTATAAATGACCGGGTGCCAGCCTCAACATGGCATAGTTTCGTTTTTTTAATGTCTTCTTCACGTTGTACTTTGCATCGGAAGTGACAAATTATTATTATCAAAATGAATGAAAAATCCAATGGAAAAAAGCATCATCATTGTATTTTCACCTTTGTTTTGTTAATTTCTTTTGGAATCAAATTCACGATTTCCACCCTGAATAGACTTATAGCCGAAACTACTAATCATCAAAAAGAGCCCAGCCTAATGCGATCATTATTTAAGTCACGAAGGTAGTTTTCTTTATGATTTATTCAAACAAATGGAGATATTGGGCTTGCTTTGAATATTTTTTTTTTAACTTCAAACATAAAAGAGACGTCCTTTTTAATATCGAAGAAGCACGCCAATCGAGTTGGTTTGGCTGGCATAGATTTGGCTCGAAAAAAGAGGGATATTCTATCGATTGATTGTTTCATGTTTTTATATTTCACCAAAAAAATTACTGTCTACATAAAATGTCGAATGAAATACGTAAATTTCGTAAATGAAATACGATAATATGAATAATGAAAATATCATAAATAGTAAAACGCATATATGAAAAATAGGCGTTCTACCTGCTGTTTACAGCATAAACTATCATTCAAAGAACGAAAAACAACACATTCGTTTGGTTCCCATAACGAAATGGGTTTTCAGTACAATTGCAACATGTGTACACATAATTTATTGCTGTGCAACTGCAAAGTGTATCCATGGGTGTGTGAGAGTGTATTTCTTTCCGGCGTCGTTTTTATGATCTTTCTAAACAGAACCAATTTACATATTTAATCACATGTGCAATACTTTGAGCGCCAAAAATGTTTCCCATCTTTGTGTCACAATCAGGTGTCAATAAAATATCTCCGGCTCTTCGAATCAGTTCACAGCAAGCAAGAGAAGAAAAAAACCTGAGAAAATTTTGTGCTGGCAGCACAACGAAAAAGAACTTGTATAGAAAACAATTGCATACAAAATGTGAGACAAAAGCAATAGACATAATCCCTGTAACGTATACAACTCACATTAAAACTATTGATGAATTGGCAAAGGCCCAGTTTTCTTTTTGTTGTTTGTCGTTTAGAAAATGTCGAAATGTGGCTTGGGAAAATGTATAACTTTTAAGACATTGTCATTGTTTCTGCTCATTTCATAAGAAATAATGCGAAGAAGGAATCGAAGGAATCACTCCGGTTCCTTCAGGGGAAGCGAATATTGCATTAAAGAAAACACATGCAACGAGAATAGCAAACGAAACGAAAAAGAAACACAAAAGAAATATGACAAAGGTACACTCACAGAATTGAGAAGGAAAAATACATCGTAAAGTAAATAGCACAAAGAGAATGCACAATTTACCTTCGAAGCAATGCTTGAATTCTCTCGTCAAACTGAAATATGTCGGTATGAATGTGTGTGTGTACTTCAATAATTCCCAACGCATTTGGCCGTTGTACGCATATAAAATATATGTATTTGGTATGTTGTTTTCTATGCATTACCGGGGCACAAGCAAATACTCTTCAGTCTTTGTTCATTGCTGAAATGGTTATTAAGTGCGTTAAATTCGATTCATACCGTGAAAGGGCTCGAGTACTAGTGTAAATGAACACTTGCACGCACATCGTGACACTCGGCGAATGAATGTAGAATGGAAAACATGTAAAGAACAGAAAATTGACAATCATCATCGAAAAAATGAGCAAACCGAACAACGACAACGATGTAAGAGATGAGCCAAACCAATACAGAGAATAAAAGCAAGCAAAAATGCACACAAGAAATAACTCAGCGTTCTTCTTTAAATTTACGAAACTGAAACAAGAAGAATAAAAAACAACGACAACACTCTCAAGTACTTGCAGTGTTGCAATTGTATTACGGAAGGTATCAAGCCATCGCAAGAAGAAACAACATGAGAAGAAAAAAAAAAACAGAATGAACGAATTGTTTTATAAATGATTTCAATGAATAAGTTAATAGCACTCACCGACATCCCGGCTTACAACCGACCATACGGCGAAAAAAAGGAGCAAAAGAACATTTCTCTAAGCGGCATTTTTTTTTCTTCTTCGATACGATCACATTCAGATAATAGACGCATACCAAACGATGACTACGGAAGAGAGAGAGGTGAACTGGGTTCAGTGTGTGCGTTTCATTCAAATGCACACCATTCACTCAATTTTTCTATTGTCTCATAGAATCGATCCTTTACATGAAACGACTTCATCCTGTGCGTAAGACCTTTTCAATTACCTCCTCTTCCGCGATTTGCCTTGCAACGAATGAGCAATGGTATGCATCATCGTGATGCAATCGTCGACGGTGTTCATTATCTTTTAATTAGAAATTTATGTTCGTGTCGCAGTTTGTTTTTTCATTAGAAAAGACTTTTCTGTTGCGTCTGACATCTTACGTCCGTTGGCATAATAAATTACGATCGCTGGTCATCCTAATCGCATGAGATAATTGAAATAGCAACAGTGGGCAGTAACAAGACCGAGCGTCTGAACAAAAATTGATTGAAATAGTGGTATGAAATATGCTGGCACCAAAAACTTCTCAACATTTCAATCATTGCTCGCCCAGCCATTTGAAAACAACCAAAAATGACGTATGTTTAATGTATTTCAACGACACGTAGGCTTTTGAATGGCCCGTAAAGTGTGAAAATGTATACTATCAACAAAAAAAAATATTTTCGAAATGAATGAATGAAACAATAAGTGATGTGAAGAGAATGGGAGATTTTGGTGGGTTTTTTCTCTCAATACAAATTGATCGAGCGATTCTTTCAAGATCGGCTCAAGTATCACAACCTTATTTTAACTGATAAATGATTCCAGCCCAAAATTGTCTTGGTATTTAATTGCATCGTGGGGAACAATCTAATTTTTATGGTTTTCTATTGTTTCATTTTATCAAACGGGCTATCTACTTCAAATTGATGCCATGTGGTGTTCGTACTATTGAGCGTAATGGTTGACGACATACCACATTCTCAAAGCATTCATCACCCATTTTGACCAAGGG